AGAGAGAGAGAGAGGGAGAGAGAGAGAGAGAGAGGTCGTGTCGGTTTTACCATTTCAGTTTCACTCAGACCCGGCCTGAAATCGCGCGTGTCCACACGCCGATACTCGAGCCGCAGTTTCGTCTCTGAATTAAAACCGACAATTTCCCAGATCTCTCCGCGCCTTAATATACATCGTTCGACGAAACCTTGGGACTAAGTGATTTTTACACTCTGCCGCTCTCCGAATAACACCTGATCGTGTTAACCGTGTCACGTTTCGTCGGCGAAAGAAATTGTTTATCTTTTCAATCGCTACCAACACCGGTGGGACGACATACAGTGTACATAAAGTGAGTATACGATATCTCTTAATGATCTTTATCGATGTCAATCGATGTTAATTACTATTGATTACATGTAGAAAGAAACGACGCACGATGCTCCGATTTTCAATCGTCAATCGCCGTCAATCCGCTAATTTTTCATAATTTTTTACTCGGCTGTTCGTCGTTCACAGCTTCTTTTCCCCCTCGCGTGGCGTCCAATCCACTTCGAACGTGAATCAGTCAGGAAGTTCAATTACAACCGATTTACATCGGCGCGATCGAGCGACGATGCATAGATTAGCTCACTCGCTCGCGAGTACAAACTCCATAAGGTTACGGTGGTCAACGATGTTGCAAGTGGCAAAACGGTTCGAGTTACGATTCCAGTTGCGTTTCGTCACACCGCGCCGTGCAATTGCGATTTCGAGTACGATCGATCGTTATTATGATGATCGTGAACGACGAGCGTTGTGCTCGCACGCGCGAGATGCCCGTTCGTAAATTCGCACGATATTCGCCGCGAATGAAGAGGAAAATCGAAATACATTGGTTAAGGTAAAGTACGTCGTCGTGAATCGTGTATCGCAACGGCCAAGAATTTCCCAGCATCCATATTGTTACGAAGCGTGGCATTGTTGCGATCGTTCGCTTTATGCGCCGTTACGAGCCAAGCCAAGAAAAGAACGCGGTTGTAATCGTAGACCGCGTAGCGCGTTCACGATGTCCCGCCGATCGTAGAACGTTCCACGGGACGTCTGTGTAAAACCCGGCGACCTCGGTTTCGACGTAACTTTCGACGACCGAACGAAAGGAGAGGCCCTCCCTTCGGGCTTTTTCTTCGATCGTTCCTCTTCTTGTTTCCTAACCATCATCGACCCTCGGCTTTCTTTCCAGGTCAGACGTCGTACGACGTACCGTGTATCTGATACTGAAACTCAAATCGATGATCTTGTATTCATATTCTTTAATGTTGCCTGGTTAGATTTCTATCAAATTTAAAAACGTGCCAAATCATCTATCGCATCATCAGGAAGATTTTCACAGAAAATAATGCAGGATTTCCCATCGTTGACTCAACCTTCGAATTGATTCGTTGAAACGTTTCACTGGCACTCGAGACGCGTTTCAACGTTTTATCGCCTCGCGTTTTGTTTTTTTTTTTCTTTCTTTCTTTTTTTTATATATAAACCGTTTCCACTGTCTCTCGGAGAAAACGATTCGCCGCGAGTCACGGCCGCAACATGAAATTCGAAAGCTCCATGCGTCAATGGTGCAGGTATATCAGATGATGTCAGTCGGCGTGAGTTTCTTTTCGCTTGACGTTTATGAATCATTCGGCGATTGTTTATACACACTAAGTCGGAATGTCATGCAGTTGCGGGTTTAATTAATCAACTCGTTACGCACGAGTAAATTCGTTGTTAATACCGTGCAAACAGTTCGCAAGTTATTAACCTATTAACCGAGGACAGCTTCTCGGGGACATAATAATTCCATTATTCATGAATGTAATAATAATTTTCTCCGTTTGTTTGCAAGAGAGATCGTTTCGTTTCTTCAATTTCAGAATTTCTATTTAATTTTTCATTGCGAGACTATACATGCCACTACCGTGGTTAAGGAATGACCTGGTTAATCGCAATCGCAATCGCAATCGCAATCGCATTCAGTCGACTTCGTGGCGCGCTTGCAAGAAGAGAAAAATGCGTTGTGCCGCTCGGTGACGCGAGGTTTGCGACGACAGCTCGGCGGAAGAGTGATCGATACGCGTTGAAGTCACTCAAAGGGTCGCAAAAGTACGCCGTGTGGAAAGGAAAACTGCGACGCCCTAATTAAGTTAGTACCGCCTGCCATAGCCGGTTGTTCGTTACTTGCCCCCAGGACAAGGAGGAAGGAAACGTCTGAATGACGTCACGTGAATGGCGTGGCTCTCCAGTTGTTCTATTATTTTTACGTTTTACATTGCCGGCGGATTACTTAATGCGCAGGGGGACACCACTTTCTCTCTCGTATAACGTGTCTTTGAGGCAGTATGCCGGTGCGTGACCGAGCCTACCTCTCGACAGTACTATCACACTACAGTTCCTTGCAAAATCGGTGTTGCCCCTCCAGCGTGCGCATTATTATCATTGCGTAACGTTTATTCTCGTTTAAGGCGAACCTTAATTGTCGTCCGTCGGTAATTACACCATAAGTTGCGTAGTCAAGTTCAAGTTGTTCAATTTGATTCGATAGCGGGTCTCGTTGGAACAACGAGAAGGGTGTTGGAGTTTCAAGCAGCATGTGAACGAATATCATACCGATCGCGATGTAAAATTAGAGATGTTCCACGATGACTAAGGACACTAATGATAGAGGCGCGGATGTACACGCAATATCACGTGAGAGAATTGGTTTTTTTCCTCTTTTTTTTTTTTTTTTTTTTTTTCTTTGCGTGACGAAAAACGTGAATTATGATTGAATTTAAGTAATCAAGAGTACGTACTCTGCCCCCCCCCCTCGAGCACGAGAACGTAATATTACGCGGCTTTCGTGTCCCAAGTGCAAATTCGCTTTTATTATCCTCGATGAACAATAGCCGCGACGTCTACTGCCGAGGATCTCTTTATTACGCGATTTTATCGGCGACGATTCTTTGAATTGAATCCTCCGCAGCGAATCGTTGTTTGTCGACCGACTTCGTCAGTATAATGGAGTGGCTTCTACTGGATGGATTAAATATCAGCATCCGAAACCGGAAATTCTCGTCGCGATAAAATGCGATGGTTGCAGTCGTCCGATGGAAATACGAGATTGAAACTAATAAAAAATAAAATAAAAAAGAGGGAAGAAATAATAATAATAAAGTAATAGATTAAATCGCAGTTATAGAACGCTTTATAAACATTATCGACACTGCTTCCCCGAACGGATAAGGAAGCTAATGCGTGTAATCGTCATCAGGTAATTGTCGTTCCGCGCGTAAATAACGCCATTATTTTCCCTGTCATAATCGTCATTTCTGAACCAGCCCGAGTTTCCTTTATCTAGGTCAAACTCGTTGAGGGAACATTGCGCGAGATATGATGACGTGGTATGATAATTGAATAACTCCCACGATCATTTAAGAATCCAGTTCCTCGGAATCGAGACGCGATAAGGATCATAAAGGGAGAACGTAGTGAGAATGTCAAGTTGAAAGTACAATTTTCAGTTATAATTTTCTTCTCTTACAAACGTCTCCTTTTAAAACGCATGCAAACGATTTTTAGAACAACATACGTAAAATAGTTAACGTAGCTAAGCTTTCGTAAATACCATGTTTCTGACGTGTCAAATGTATTGACCACCGTCGTTTGTGTGCAAGGATCATTGTTCATCATGGTCAGCAGGTGCAAAACGATATTGAAACACCTACGTACACTCTGAACAATCGAGCTCGATGTTCACCGCACGCGAAACGGATCGATCGCGATCTCTTACGTCATGTAAAGGAGATGCACGAGTTAGTTACGAGCAACGAATAGTATGTGATTTGTGAAACAATCGAGCCTGGTGCCTTACTCATCGCATGATCTTGAAAAACGTGATGCGCCTAGCTGTTGGAAGGAATTTCACGCGGTCTACTTAGCGGCAGTACACACGTTATTGTTCTTGGCTGACTCATTTCGGCGATGTTTTACTTGTAAATAGATATAAATACGATTTAGGAGCAATTCGAAGAGATACTCCGAAAGCTACCGCGTGACGAAAGCGGTTTATATAATCACTCATCGAATGTTTCACGTAGCCGTGTGTGTGTGTGTGTTACACGAAATATTTCCTACGATGTATGACATTGTGAAAAGTTTGAAACAAATCCGACAGAAATATGTATACACGTAGTCGGAGTTGCTGATTGATGGAACTTACATAAGCCAATTATATCGTGGCTTTTCGGTGCCAGATTTGCAATTACGATAGAGAGAGAAAGTTCCTCCGATAATCTGTCGAAACAAATAACTCGCGCCTGAAAGTCGAGAGAGTTCGATCGGAAGGACGCGTGAAAATTGCTACGCTCTCGGTTCACGTGGAATGTGAAAAATTATGATGCATCGATGCGTGACGAGCCCTGTAAGCAAAGTTCAGGGGTCATGTGAATGAATGTTTCGTAAACATATCTTCGAAACGTAAGCATATCGATTTCGCGTTTCAAGTAGCTTGTTCTCTTATCGATCTGTAGTAAACCGAGAATTTCCCGCGTCGTCAATGATTAAGCTGATGATTAAAGGTTCCGCGAATCGATCGAGATTCGAAAATTAAAGGCGATGGCGCGTAATCACGGTCGATCGTCGGCAAGAATGTAGGTCGGCGGAAGGAAAAAAAATTGAGAACACGATCACGAACTTTATGAAATCATGAAAGAGTTTTCTGCATGCCGTGACATCATCGAGGGAACGATTAGCCACGGCAATGGCTAGCGCCTCTCAAGAATCACAATGACAAAGATTACGCGATCGTTTGATCCTTGTACGGATGTAAGACTCGCCGTTGCACTTACAAAATAGCGTTCCAAGGTTTAAGTATCGGCTATACTTTAAAGTATTTTTATAATTGTTTTCCACTCCATGTTTCCATTTCCATTGATTCGCGTTTATATTCCAGACGAATCGCATCCGAGAAAACGTGCGAATCAAATTTGCTGATAATTCACAGCACCTTGTTACGTTAACATATTCACACAGTCTGGTACAATCTTCTATTTTATCGTATGTTGTTTGCAGATCGAAATATAAGGGAAAATGGGATACAGCACGGAAATGGACAGCTGCGGTCGTTGCATGAAGTATTCGTTATTCTTTGTCAACTTAATAATCTTCGTAAGTACCAAATATGTTCAAACCGTTGCAATTACGACCGTGTTCTTCTACTTTACAAGGATAACGTGCAAATAACTTTTCAGATCGGTGGTCTCGCGATAGTTGGATTAGCAACGTGGGCCCTGTTGGATAAAGTACCATGGATAGGTGAATTAGTAGGGAACGATTTGCTAACAGGTGCCATTTACGTTCTATTGGCCGGTGGTATCGTTGTCGTTATAATATCGTTCTTTGGTTGTATCGGTGCATCTCGAGAAGTCAAATGTATGCTTCTCACGGTAAATTTTGTTACTCTTTCCTTTTTCACTCCGACTCAAAGGTCTTCGACCTTTGGAACATTAAATTATATACAACATGCAAAGAAAAAGAGAGAAAAAAAATTTTTTTTTTTTCAGTACTTCATCATCGTGTTTCTTCTGTTCGTGACCATGTTAATTGGCGGAGTCCTCGCATACGTGTTCCGCGAAAAACTAGTGAACACGCTCGAGAGGGAAATGTCGAGTTCGATGAGAGTTTACGATTCTCGTAAATCAGTCAGAGAGGCTTGGGATACGACGCAGTCGACGGTAAGCGCGAGACAAGACACTCTCGAATCACGACAAATTTCACGCGTATAA